AGGCATCAACCGCGATGGCTCCGCAGTCAAGGAAATGTACCACATATATCGGGAGATGACGAGACCACGCCGATGCGAAGAGGTCCACCTCTGGGAGCCCGAACGTCCGGCAGAGCCAACTGAAGGAGTCGGCATCGATCATTTGTTCCATGGACAGGGGAATGAATCAAGACAGGCCATCCGTCAGTATGCTGGACACTCCCATAAATGAACCGCAAGAAGACCCATACCCCAAGAATCCAGCAGACAAGTCACTCGAAGTGACCAGCCCCAAAGAGCCAAGGACTGAGGAGAACCCCCACAGTTCAGACAATTAACCACCAGAGAGCAGTCCGAATGAAGCTTGATCGGTGATCCTCGAGTGACCTGAATCCTCCGAAGTAACAGCCAAATCGCCGCAAACTCCTGCACCATGCTGTGAGTCTGATGGAAGGACAGAGCCCACCGCAACTGGCCGGTATGGTGAGCACTGGTAACAGAGGCAATGCAGTAATCAACGCAGACCAACAGTGGCCGAACCCAGTGATCATGAGAGAGGCGGAAGGGACGTTCCCGAACGAACCAGAACAGATGCCGAAGCCAGACCCGACCCGGCGGGTAAACCAGCATGGCGAAGTTCAGACCACCGCCCAACATCTCAAGCAACTGCCGAGTGACCTGTGACCTGTGACCTGGGACCCCCCCCTCGATAACCCCACCTTGCCCAGTCCAGCCTAAAGGCATCGACCCCAACAGCCTCGCAGTCAGGAAAGAGCGCAACGTATACTAGGAGATGCCTCGACCATGTCGACACGAAGTGATCCGCTTTGGAGGCCCGAACATCTGGCAGAGCCAACTGAACAAGTTGGTGTAGACCGGCCATTCCGTGGACAGGGGAATGAACCAGGACAGGCAGTCCACCAACACATTGGACACCCCCAGACGTAAGAGGCCAGAAGAGCCAAACCCCGAGAATTCAGCAGACGAGTCACCCGAAGCGACCAGCCCCAAAGTGCCAAGGACCGCATGGAACCCTGTCGGTTCCAGCAATGAACCACCAGGGAATAGTCCGATTGGAGCCTGAATGTCGATCCGCGAGTGAACCGAATTCTCCTGAGCGACATCCACACAGCCGCGAACTCCCGCACCATGCTGTGAGCCCAACGGAAGGATGGATCCTATCGACCCTGGCTGGCCTGGTGAGCACTGGTCACAAAGCCCCAGCCAAGAGGTGACGCGTCCGTAAACACATTGAGCGAGGGCTTGGGTAGGCGCCAAGGCACTGAACCCTGAAAAACCCGAAGAGGAGGCCGGAAATGCAGCAACCGACACTAAGCTCCTGGAGGCGGAACCTAGCAGTCGCGAAAGAGGCAGAAGGGACATCCCCGAAGAAACCAGAACAGCTGACGAAGCCACACCCGACCCAGCAGGTAGACCATCATGGCAAAGTTCAGGCTTTCACACAAACTCTCGAGCAACTGCCGCGTGACCCGGGATGATGAATCAAATTGGCATGCATTTCATTCCTATTCTACCAAACCATCTTCTTGGTCCAACTACCCTCCACCTAAAGTCAACTCAAAGGACACTAACTATGTACTTTACTGCAGTACTGCAAAACTTATGGGTACACCACAGAGAAGTGTCCTGATCTTCACTGTAAATACTGTAAATGTTCAATTCACTGATCTTTCTTTATTTGACAGACATGTTTGACAAGAAACTGTCTCTAGCAACTGTAGAGACTCTGCTGGGACAGTCCCAATACACATCTTGAGAGAGACAGCTTCGCTGCAAACCATTCCTCTGAAGAACATGGCATCAAAGTTACCAATACTGGAGAACTGTTCTAATCACCGACCTCACCGCAACCACACCTTACCCGCTAGCCAAAATCTACTTGGATTGTCCTTATATTCATGGTGTGGTTAAAGTCGCCATTTGGGAACAACCTTTTTCTCTGCCAGGAATTCAACTTCTCCTGGGCAAGGACTTGGCCAAACAGAAAAACTCCACCAACCTCATCATCTAAGACAAGTCCAAGGTATGTTTCCCAGCCATAGAAGAGGAAGATCCTGCCACGACATATGCGGCAGAAGAAGAGGTCAAGGTGATGGAAGAACTAGCAGGCACCTCCAAGCCGGTCCTATTGACCACACGTGCCCAAGTCGCCCAGCAACCACCAGTTTTTTATATTATTATTATTATTAAAAAAAAAAAACAAAAAAAAAAAACACCACCAGTACCAGCAGCTGTCCCTCAAGACTTGCAAGACCTCTCACCGAATCTCAACCTTTTGGAGTTCTGAGAGTTACAACATTCTGATATTTCTTTAACCCTTTAGCTGCGCAACGCACCTGCAGGCCCTCGATGGGGGTGCGCAACTCGCCTCCGGGTATTTATATTTTTAGTATTTCATTCAAAACTCCCACGGCTACATGGGGTTCACATGAGCTTTCTCAGGGCTCTTGTAAACAGACGCCATCTTTAAAAAAAATCGTGGGCCACAATCCTGGGTGTGAGCCACAGTACTGAGTGAGCAACCAAGGTTGGCGCACGCAGCATGAGCTCACAGCACCACTGCTCAGCATTGTGACCACAGCATCGTCTAATGTTAAAATGTATATATAATGCGTATTATTTAGCCATGATAGTATTACAAAGGAGCCCAAGTGTGATAATGACTGTGTACAATGTTAAAATATCAGTGATGCATTGCTGTTCACGATGTTCACAGCTCTAGCCACAGCATTATTTTGTCCATCTAGGAATCGTCAAACGACTTCGTAGGTTTCTTTACAAAATAAACTGGTGGTCAATTATTCATTTACAGGAATTAGTGATCCGGATTGTGATAATAGCAAGATTTAGTGATAATTAGCGCTGTGCGTAGTATTGTGGGAGGTGGTGGTTTGGCGAGGGAGGGAGAGACTCCAGATAGCGTCACTGTGTGGCAGCCACTCTTGTTTTACTCACCATACTAGCCTAGTGGTTTGCTATTGTACATACACATGTACATGGGTATATACAATGTGTGTGTATATAGTGCAATAACAGCAACAGAAGTATATTGGGAGGAGCTATTTTGGTGAGGAAGGTGACATCGTAATCATAGCGGTCTGCTGGCTGCTGTGTGATTTCTCAATGCAGTGTATGGTGGTTACTGTGAACACAGAATACCGGCTTACTTGCATAGTTCTGGTGAATAAAACATGTAGATACGTATACATAACATGTGTAAATAGTGTAATATAAAGAATAACAGTATGGTGGGAGGAGCACTGTTGGCGAGTAAGATGTTTGAGTGAGGGAGGACTGGCTTGGTGTGGCAGCTCACTCTCGCAGTGTTCTGAGTGTGTTGATGGTGAATGTATATAGTGTGTGATACTGTACAGTGTGTAAATAGATTGTATATATACATAAATTAGCATGATACAATGGAAATATGTGCCGGATATGTGTACACATGTGTCATGCACGTAACACAATGTCTTCGGACAGAACGGATGTTCTACTGCCATAATATAGTGTGTGTTCATTATACATAGGATTGGCATGAAAAACTAATAAAATGTATTTGGAACTGTGCGCAAAAAATGAACAAAAATATATTCATGGCAACTCGCGCATCTTGCCCCGAGAGCGTACGCCACGGGTGACCAGGGATTGATGACGTCCCGCGCGAACTTACGGAGCCCATAGCAGCCAAAATAAGTACAATTTTGAATTTTTGTTAACATATCCATACTCAGGGAAGGGTTTTTGACACTTTCAAAAAAACAAAGAATTTTTTCCAGAGAATTTATTTCCTGCGCATTATGGAGGGTGCCATATTTGGAAGCCGAGCAGTTGAGGGGTTAAAACCCTTGTTTTTTCAAGCTCATCTCAAGAATGATTCCATCCCAGATTTCCCAACTTAGGATAATCAACTGCTTTACCATAAATTCTGTCCTAGAAACTCGAGGCAGAGGATGACTGGGCAGATGTGAATGAGTTAGTGTTAGCAACATCTCTAAGAACGGAAAAATTCTGGACCTCGGCGCCCTTGGGTCAGCTCTCGCAGCCGGTTGTCTCGTCTTCGTTCTGATTCCTATGGTACTCCCTCCTTCCTGGTGCATGCCCATTTGTTTCCTTCTTCATGGGTAATTAGCTTCAAGAAGCCAGAGAGGGTTCCCCCTCCCCTGGAAAGCCAGCACTGAATGTAATGAAATACCAATTTCTGGGTGAGTCCCAGTCCTTCCCTAACTCCCTCCTCCCTAAGGAAATTGGGCCCATTACATCATTTGTCGAACTGACGGCGAAGTGGCTTGCAATCCAGGGGCCTGATTCACGAAGCAGTTACACAAGTACTTACGAACGTGTACATCTTTTCTCAATCTATGATGGCTTTGGTTACATTTAATAAACAGTTTACAAGCATGAAAACTTCCCAATCAACTGTTATTGTTATAAACAGCCTCCTAGTGCTTTGGAGCTCATTAACGGTTTAATAATTGTAAACAAAGCCGCAAAAGATTGAGAAAAGATCTTCTTCCTGTCTGAGAAGACAGGTTCGTTAGTACTTGCGTAACTGTTTCGTGAATCTGGCCCCAGAGCCTTCCTTACCCCCCCCCCCCCCAAACAAGATGGAGGGTGGAGAGAACGAGCGGATGCTAAATTTATGACATTTTCGCTCATTTGTTTACATAATTGGGGAATACTATGGCAGTTTTTGAGGCTACAGATCTCAGAGGAACCCAGCTGTGGTTTGTTTTGATTTGCTGACTTTCTGGGTACCTACCTTTGTGGTGACATAAATAAATAACTTGATATATGAATGCCATGGCTCTCTGCACCTCTGTGAATGGGGCCAGGTTCTAGTTCCTGATGCCCGGTAAGTCGAAGAACTCCGCGACTGATAGCACCTAGTAGATGACACCTACATCGGAGATGGAAGCTTTAGGGAGCCATCAGGGCTCAACCAGAAATTGGGTGAGCCCAATTTCTGGTTTTATAAAATCATTAGTTAAAAAACAAATTACCTGGTTGAGTTAGTGTAAGATACTGAGCAAAGAGGTGAAGGGCCAGTTTAGAGAGACCATAGATCTTCACATGGTCCGCAAATGTCTTCAATTCTCTTGACTGTCTTGGACTGAAGAGGCTTAAATCCTCCAAGGATACAAGCTTATGAGACTCTGATGAGACAAATATGATCTTGGGCGTTGTTGAACGCTGTATGACATCGAGAAGTAAGGTGGTGAGAAGGAAAACACCTGAAATTACACAAAATTATTAAGTAATATATCTTTATAAGATACTGAATACTTAAAAGGATAATTTTTCATTCACTGCCTGAAGAAGTACAAGATGTTTATTCAGGTAAAGGTACATACATTGAAAATGAGTTACAAACACAATGTTGGATTTCTAGATAGTGCTAGTAGATATAATGCCTGAAGCCACTAATATGCACAGCATTTCGCACAAAGTGTGGGGGAAAAACACTTAGACTAAAACTTAATACTAATCGAGATCAAAAGCATAAACTGAACTGAAAAAAAAAGGAAAAAAGAAAGAGTGAATGATAATAATTACATGATGGATGGAACAGCAGAAAATGCAACACAACAGCAGAAGGAATTTTAACTAAATAAGCAGACGACTATAATTTTCTTTAAGTATATACATGACGGATATCAGCAGTTAAAGAAATTGGTCAATAATCAATATTGTTTGAAAATAGCAAGACATATGTTGTTGACATTTAGGAGGTAAGGTAGGTTACCTGGAGTTTATTAGGTAGTACTTAGTTTTTGTTTTAAACTGGTTGAGTGGTACAGCCTTTGACATGATTGGGAAGGTCATTCCACATTCTGGGTCCCTTGATTTGTAGAGCATTTCTAGTTTGGTTAAGTCACACTCTTTGAATATCAAATAGGTATTTGTTTTTAATGTGGTATCCATGGGTTTTGTTACAACTTTCTAGAAAGCGTTTAACCCTTAACCTGAGCATGGCGTATATATACGGCAGGGACCGATGGTACTATATGGTACCAAGTAAATTTTTTTAGTACCAAGTAAATTTTTTTAAACTTGTTCTAACGCTTTCAAATTTTTTGTGCATAATCTACTAGGCAAACACTCCAACTTCGTCTAAATGATCACCAACATAACTTGAAAAACAAGAAAATTAAAAAAATAAAATTTAATATTGAAAATTTCAGATTTTCAGATCAGCTGCAAAAATATTAAATATCACCAATTGTTCATTAAGTGTTATTGTGCTCTCAGAATATTATACGATATTAATTTTAACAGATTTAGAATATAGATTTTCAGTTTGGTTTACTGTAAAAAAAAAAATCATCAATATGGCATTTGAAATATGCACCAAATTCAGATTAGCAAAATTTATAACTCAAAACGTTTAGAGGTTATGAAAAATCCATTCTAATAGGATTGTAGAACAGACAGAGGTGCACACTATATGTACAAATGGTGAGAATTGGTCAGAAAATGGATTTTTTGAAGCTGACTCAATGTTGAAACTCTAGTTTTAGAGATAATTGAAGTTGAAGTTATTGACAATGTATAAGGTAGTTCTAATTCATTAATTTACTTGTATGTTTTAATAAACATTGTTTGGCATTCGTACTCGAATATGTGAAAGTAGTAGGTCAATGTGTGTTGAAATGAAGTCAAGGAAAAACACCCCCCCCCCCCACCTGGGGAGCCAGTCGGCCGAGCGGACAGCACGCTGGACTTGTGATCCTGTGGTCCCGGGTTCGGTCCCGGGCGCCGGCGAGAAACAATGGACAGAGTTTCTTTCATCCTATGCCCCTGTTACCTAGCAGTAAAATAGGTACCTGGGTGTTAGTCAGCTGTCACGGGCTGCTTCCTGGGGGTGGAGGCCTGGTCGAGGACCGGGCCGCGGGGACACTAAAGCCCCGAAATCATCTCAAGATAACCTCAAGATAACCCCCCAAAAAAAAATACATAGGGATAATTATAATAAAGATGATTTAGGGGATGTATTTAGAGTATACTTTATATTAGTCAAAAAGACCTAATCCGGTCCCTAATCATCAAAACAATCTAAACAAACAAGGAAAATAGTTTGAAATCTGTGAAAAAAAAAATTCAAAGTCCCAAGTTTTGCCGTTATGACTGATTTATTTGTCGACCAATTTAATTCTTCACATAGTTATGGAAGGGTATGCATTCTCCGGGATGTAGAAGTTACAACAAAATCGGATAATAAACAAAGAAGAAGAAAAAAAAGACTTTGAATGTAATGAAACGCCGTTTCTGGGCAAGACCCGGAGGCTCCCCGGAGCTTTACCAGGCTGATATGCTAATGTCAGACTTTGGCATCAGTCATGTGTATGGAGTTCTGTGGGCCTCCCGGGGACCACGGCCAGAACCTGGCTCCCCCAGAGAGGCATGGGGAGGAATGGCCTATAGAAACCCTCGTGTGGTTGGAAGCATTCTATGTCTGCCATCGACCGAGTCAGGCACCCAAAAAGGTAAGCATCCCAAAACAAAACCCCTATTCTGGTGAAAATTGCTACCAAAAGCCAAACAAGTGGATACAGTTCCCAAAAAAGAAACAAGCAAACGAGCATTACGTCACACGTCACCGTGCCGCTGTCTGCGCAACGACAGCGGCAGAGGAACAGAGGAACAGCTGAACAAGGCCAACATCTTGAGGAAGCACAGGGGCCAATAAGCACACATTAAAATGCGCAAACGTGTCCCCCCCCCAGGTAAACCTGCAGAACAGTAGCAGCCTCCTGCCATTTGAGCGTGTGGTCCCAAACCTGCACACAGAAATAACAGCACATGAGACCAGAAGGCATGGCAGGATATGCAGAATACCCCCATTGAAGAGCAGAGGTGCAACAGGTACTCTGAGAGAGAACTCTATCAACATCAGAGGCCCGAGACTGTTCAACACGCTTCCGCTACACATAAGGGGCATAACTGGCCGACCCCTCACAGTGTTCAAGAGAGAACTTGACAAACATCTCCAAAGCATACCTGATCAACCAGGCTGTGACTCATACATCAGGCTGCGAGCAGCCGCGTCCAACAGCCTGGTTGACCAGTCCAGCAACGAGGAGGTCTGGTCGACGCCCGGGCCGCAGGGTCACTGAGCCCCGGAAACGCCTCAAGGTAACCTCAAGGTGGGTCCAACAAAACCCGTGCCATGCTCCCTGAGAATAGAAAGGGCAGTCTGCAAGCCATGAGGACTCTGGAACCTTATAACGCACTCAATATGGGGGAAGAACAACTGTACTCAAACGAGGACGGATCCATCACAGAGGCAAAATCCGGGTCACGCAGGAGGTAAGCAACAAGAGCCTCCCGTACCTCTTTAGGCAGGATGTGAGAAGTAGAAAACCTCTAGAAGGAAGGAGCCGAGGAACCCAAGGGAACTCGGAACCGAATCTGGGGAGGAGCCGACCCCAATTCACACTCATACAGGGAAGGGGGAGGGGGGAAGAACCCCCTCCCCCCAAGTCCAGGTTCCTATAACCAAAATGGGGCAGCCTCAGGGCATCCAAGCAGGCAACCAACCTAGCAGGTTGCAGCAACATAATCCTGGCATGCAACGCGGATGCCGCTTGTACCCGAACCTCAGTGACAATAGAATGGGTAAACTGGAGCACGAGCAGAGAACACGTCTAGCAAGACTCAGGGTCAAAGGTGTCATTGACCCAACAGGCAGCATGATGGAGGCAAAACTGGTGACTGTCACCCAGACATGGGCACAGAACAACCTTCATACTCGCACAAGGTAAGGTGGAACTCAGAGGACACATCCATCAGTCAACTGAGCCCCGACCAAGGGGTTTCCAGGGCCCTTTGGTCGTCATCTACAGAAAGCCCAGGCAAGGTACTGCTAGCTGGTTAACTTAAAAGCTAACAAGGGGAATGAGCAAAGAACTGGACCCTGTGATGTGTACAAGCACAGGGGCCTAGAGGAGGGCCACCAATATACCCCTATGTGAACTAATAGCCAAACAAGGCAGACCCCCTCCTGGCAAAGAAAACAGAAATAAAAGAAAACCCCCCCGCAAAAGTACAACAATACCAGAGGGAACAGGAACATGGCCGCCACATAGGTAAGCAGACGGCCCAGCACCTTGTGCCCCAACCAGCAACACCACCACTTCCTACCCAAGGCCAAACGAAGGGCCATGAAACCCCATCTGGCTGCAAGGGTGGGGTAAATGCCGAGTAGCAAGAACCCCTATGGAAGTGGAACCCTGAAGGCTCTATGGAAGGTAACCCTAGAACCCAAGGGCAATACGTACAGAGCGCCTAGGGAAAATAGCCCTAAGCACATGCAACCTCACGACACTGTAGCTACACTTGGCCACCGCACCACAAGTAGCAGTTAACACCGCAATGGCACAAAGAATGCCAAGAAATCAAGGTCACAGTTGACGTCCGCCCCAGATCGCATTAGTCAACGAACTGAAAGTGTGAGTAGCTGGCGTGGGGGAGGGGAGGTCCAGGGCTTCCCCCTTCCCCTTCTGGGAAGGGGAGGGCTGTGTGGACGAGCAGTGCAGCAGCAGCAGTGTATGACGTTTGCTAGTTTCTTTAGAATTTGGGAGAGTTCTGACTCTCTGTTCGGTCTTTGGTTGTAATTTCTTACCAAGTGGGGTCTGTTTTGTTATGTCTACCTACCTTTCTGGGTGCCTAACTCCGGTTGATGGCAGACACGAAATGCTCCCAACCACAAGGAGGGTTTCTATAGGCCATTGCATCCTGTGCCCCCTATGAGGGGCCAGGTTCTGGCTGTTGGTCCCCGGTAGGCTGAACTTTAATTGACCGAAGACCAAGACTAATATATCATATATCAGTCCGATAGCGCCAGGGAGCCGAAGGGGCTCCCCACAGAAAAATAAGATTTTTTCAGGTTTCTTGATCAAGAACGTGTTTCACTTTTATATGCTCCCATTGAAGTCACAAATCTTGTTCAGGTTCCATACTTCAGTTACACATTATATTTACAGAGTTTGCTGTATAATACACAACATGTAGCATAAAAATATGATTCAACTATTTGCATTTTAATTTACAGATACTTGCAAGTCACACTATAAAGTAGTCATCACAAAAAGCAAAGAGTGCATGGGCGATGCGGTGATGTTGGTATGTGTTCATAATGCTGATTAATTAATACACTCACCAAGGTAGTTGGTCTGGTAAGTAATGTCAAGTTCATCACATGTCAAGATTGGAGGATGATGAAAGATGGCAGCATTGTTAACAAGCACATCCAGCCTTTGTTCACCTAGGAATCAGAGAAGAAAACATGCTGTACATCGATAATATTATCCAAACAAACATTGTAGAATAGGTAGGCGGCAATTTAGACTCTGGCCAATGTACTGGGGACTGAGGTCATACGTCACTATTGTTACTCAAGCTGGGAAGATGACCAAAACTAAAATATTGCAAATGGGCTAAAGTCCCTAATTTTCCAATTCTTCCACTTAAAGAAGTTACAATTAAAAATTAAAAATCTAGTATTCCATATAATGAAATGCATTTTTCTGGTGGTCCCTCAGTGGTTCCCTGAGCTACTCAGCCTGGCAGCCAAGACTAATGCACCCCCACCCCCTCCCTGGTGAGGGTGTGGGGGGGGGGGGAGCAACAGTGAGGGTGTGGGGGGGGAGCAGCAGTGAGGGTGGGGGGGGGGGGGGAGCAGCAGTGAGGGTTGTAGGGATGCTTCCAAGAAAGCGCGCCTTGCCTCACCTGCATCGGACTCATCACATGTTGACCCAAATGTATCTACATCTGAGGTTACCTTATCGCCATTAATCTCCACTTTCGTCAACCCAACACCAACATCTACCACCACCAGTCAATCAAATAAAATCGAGTCCAAGCGCAGTTAAAAGCTCTGTACCTCAAGATACAGTCCTTGCACCACTGCTTTTCCTTATTCTCATATCAGATATAGACAAAAATACAAGTCACAACTTTGTATCATCCTTTGCAGATGACACAAAAATCAGCATGAAAATTACCTAGAAGACATTGAAAAACTTCAAGCAGATACAGTGGCACCTCGACATACGATTGCCCCTACTTACGATAATTTCGAGTTACGATGTAAATTTCACCGAAAAATGCGACTCGACATCCGATGGGTCGTTGACTTCCGATATTTGTTGGTACACGTTCGGGTCGACCAAGCGCGTGGTTCCCGGTCACACGGTCCGACCTGCCTCAGTTTACTACAGCTGCCCGCTTAGTGACGATCGCACCTATAAGAAATTCCGCTTTTGTGGTGAATTTTTGCATTTTGAACATTAAAGTAATTATTATATATCACGCCACGAGTCCCAGGAAAGTCAGTGGTAAGGCTCAACATATGAGATCCCATGTAAGAATGACCATAGAGCAGAAACAAGAGATCATTCGTAAATATGAAGATGGTGTGCGGGTTATTGGACTGGCTAGGCAGTACAACAAATCTCAGTCAACGATATCCACCATACTGGCTAAGAAAAAGGACATTATGGGTGCTAAAGTGGCAAAAGGTGTATCAATAATCATGAAACATAGAACACAAACACTTGAGGATGTTGAACAGTTATTATTAATTTGGATTCACAACAAGGAGTTAGCGGATGATAGCGTTTCGGAGGCCATCATTTGTGAAAAGACAAGAAAATTGCACGAAGACCTTTTAAAGAAAACCCCTGGAACGAGTGATGCAGAAGTGAGAGAGTTTAAGGCGAACAGGGGATGGTTTGAGAAATTTAGAAAAATAAGTGGAATTCATAGTGTTGTGAGGCATGGGGAGGCTGCCAGCGCAGACAAACCAGCGGCTGAAAGATTCATTGGAGAATTTAAAGATTTTGTGCAGAGTGAGGCATACCTACCACAACAAGTGTTTAACTGTGACGAGACAGGGCTATTCTGGAAAAGATTGCCAAAGAAAACATACATTACCAAGGAGGAGAAGTCATTGCCTGGACACAAGCCTATGAAAGATCGGTTTACTCTTGTGTTGTGTGGTAATGCGAGTGGCGATTTGACAGCTGAGGAAATTTCTTCAGAGGAGGATGTGCCAGTACAGAATGTCTCTTCCTGAACAATTAAGAAAATGTGTGCAGCATGGGAAGAATTGCAAACCTTTGCTGAAACGACTCACCCAAATCAAGCTGCAGTAGGTCGTTGCCTTAAGCTATTCAATGACACTGTGATGCATCATTACAGACAAATGTTAAAACGAAGGGAAAAACAAATGTCTCTTGACAAATTTGAAGTGAGACAAACAAGCATTGAACCACAACCAGGTCCTAGTGATATTCAGGCAAAACGTAGGAGAGAGAGAGTACACCAGAGAGTACACCAGAGAGTACATCACTGCCTGATGTGATAATGGAAGGGGACTTCCCTTCCAAACAGTAACAACTCTCCTCCTCCCCGGGAAGCCGGTCGGCCGAGCGGACAGCACGCTGGACTTGTGATCCTGTGGTCCTGGGTTCGATCCCAGGCACCGGCGAGAAACAATGGGCAGAGTTTCTTTCACCCTATGCCCCTGTTACCTAGCAGTAAAATAGGTACCTGGGTGTTAGTCAGCTGTCACGGGCTGCTTCCTGGGGGTGGAGGCCCGGTCGAAGATCGGGCCGCGGGGACACTAAAAGCCCCGAAATCATCTCAAGATAACCTCCCCCCCCCCCTCACCACCATCTTCCATATGTCATCAAGAGCCCTTCATAAAGGTAAGATAAACTTTGGTACTGTATTGTAGTTAGAAAAAAACATTGTATTCAGTATAAAATGTATTTGTATGTTAATATTTTGGAGGGTGGGGAACGGATTAATTCAAATTCCTTTATTTCTTATTGGAAAAACCGCTTCGACTTACGATATTTTGACTTACGATCCGTCTCTGGGAACGGATTAGCATCGTAAGTCGAGGCCCCATTGTATTAATAAAATTTTTGAATGGGCAACAGAAAATAACATGATGTTTAACAGTGATAAGTTCCAGGTACTGTACTCAGGTACAGTAAAAATGAGGACCTTAAACATAATACAGGGTACAAAACACAATCAAATGTGCTCATAGTGGGAAAGCAGCATGTAAAGGATTTGGGAATAATGATGTCTGATGCCCTAACGTTTAGGGAGCATAACCAAGCAAATATTGCGTCAGCGAGAAAAATGATTGGATGGATTACGAAAACTTTCAAATCCAGGGATCCCATCACAATGGTTGTACTGTATTATACAAATCACTTGTACTGTCCCGTCTAGAGTACTGCTAAGTACTCACTTCCCCTTCAGAGCAGGAGAGATTGCTGAAATAGAGTGAATACAGATAATATATATATATGGCATACATAGATGCAATAAAGCACCTAAATTATTGAGATCGTCTCAAAGCTCTCCAAATGTACTCACTAGAATGAAGACGAGAGAAAGAGATATAAAATAATAATCACATGGAAGATACTAGAGGGCCAGGTACCAAATCTACACAGTAAATAACAGCGTACTGGGGTGAACGATATGGAAGAAAATGCAGAACAGAACCAGTGAAGAGCAGGAGTGCCATAGGCACAATCAGAGAACACTGTATAAACATCAGAGGTCCGCGGTTGTTCAACATCCTCCCAGCGACCATAAGAAATATAGCCGGAACAATCGTGGACATTTTCAAGAGAAACTAGATCATTTTCTCTAAGGAGTGCCGGACCAACCGGGCTGTGGTGGACATGTGGGACTACGGGCCACTGCAAGCAACAGCCTAGAGGACGAAACTCTCACAAGTCAAGCGTGGCCTTGGGCCGGGCTTGGGGAGTAGAAGAACTCCCAGAACCCCATCAACCAGGTATCAACCAACCATGTAAATAACTATGCTCCATCAACAATGATCATCAACATAAGTGGATCAGGACTTCTCTTATTAGCGAGTACAAATGAAATACTGTCGCATTTATGCCATGAACCTGTTAATTTTTCCCTATAGATTTTTTTACATATACAGGTACAGTACAGTATTTTTTTTCTCATTTTTCCAACATTTCTTGTTTACGAACTTACACAGTAACCGACGGGTCTCATCCTCAAGGGGTTTGCAAAGCACGTGGTTCTCTGTGTAAATACTTAAGTGTAGTTACAGGATGAGCGCTAAGCTCGTGGTGTCCCGTCTTCCCAGCACTCTTTGTCATATAACGCTTTGAAACTACTGATGGTTTTGGCCTCCACCACCTTCTCACCTAACTTGTTCCAACTGTCTACAATTCTGTCTGCAAAGGTGAATTTTCTTATATTTCTTCAGCATCTCTGTTTAGTTAGTTTAAATCTATGACCTCATGTTCTTGAAGTTCCAGGTCTCAGGAATTCTTCTCTATCAATTTTATCGATTCCAGTTACTATAATGTACGTAGTGATTTTATCACCTTCTTTCTTCTAGCTTCTAGTTTTTGCATATTTAATGCCTCTAATCTCTCCGCGTACCTCTCGTCCTTCAGTTCTGGGAGCCACTTAGTGGTATGTCTTTGCATTTTTTCCAGTTTGTTGATGTGCTTCTTAATACTATTGCACTCCGTTGCCTCGACCCGTCGTCACTCATTTTTCTCCCTATACTGAGCGAGTGACTATTGCTCGTGTCATGAATTAAAATATTTGTAAAAAATTCAAATTTTATCCGATCAATCTGGGAGTGTTGTAAAAATGAGTGCCCTTAGATTACGCACAATTTGATACCAAAATGAACGACATAACACGAAAATTGATGTCAGAACACTGGAAAGATATAAATAATTTTGTGGTGATGAGTGTCAAAAAGTGTCCAAAAGTTAAAATATTTGTTAAATTCATATAATTCTGTATTCTATCTCGTAGATTGTTTAGAAAAAAAAGCTTCGATAGAAAAATGAGGGCAGTAATCAGAGGCAATGTATCGGACTGGAGAAATGTCACAAGTGGAGTACCACAGGGTTCAGTTCTTGCACCAGTGATGTTTATTGTGTACATAAATGATCTACTAGTTGGTATACAGAATTATATGAACATGTTTGCTGATGATGCTAAGATAATAGGAAGGATAAGAAACTTAGATGATTGTCATGCCCTTCAAGATGACCTGGACAAAATAAGTATATGGAGCACCACTTGGCAAATGGAATTTAATGTTAATAAATGCCATGTTATGGAATGTGGAATAGGAGAACATAGACCCCACACAACCTATATATTATGTGAGAAATCTTTAAAGAATTCTGATAAAGAAAGAGATCTAGGGGTGGTTCTAGATAGAAAACTATCACCTGAGGACCACATAAAGAATATTGTGCGAGGAGCCTATGCCACGCTTTCTAACTTCAGAATTGCTTTTAAATACATGGATGGCGATATACTAAAGAAATTGTTCACGACTTTTGTTAGGCCAAAGCTAGAATATGCAGCTGTTGTGTGGTGCCCATATCTTAAGAAGCACATCAACAAACTGGAAAAGGTGCAAAGACATGCTACTAAGTGGCTCCCAGAACTGAAGGGCAAGAGCTACGAGGAGAGGTTAGAGGTATTAAATATGCCAAAACTAGAAGACAGAAGAAAAAGAGGTGATATGATCACTACATACAAAATAGTAACAGGAATTGATAAAATCGATAGGGAAGATTTCCCGAGACCTGGAACTTTAAGAACATGAGGTCATAGATTTAAACTAGCTAAACACAGATGCCGAAGAAATATAAGAAAATTCACTTTCGCAAACAGAGTGGTAGATGGTTGGAACAAGTTAGGGGAGAAGGTGGTGGAGGCCAAGACCGTCAGTAGTTTCAAAGCGTTATATGACAAAGATTGCTGGGAAGACGAAACACCACAAGCGTAGCTCTCATCCTGTAACTACACTTAGGTAATTACGTGAAAAGAAAATTACAAGCCGCCGACCAGTGGGCAGAGAGCACCACGCCGACCAGGCGAAAAAGGTACAGAACTGCATCAAAAGGCCCACCTCGACAACAAAACCCCAAAGTCCCAGCACGACTACAACACGTGCCAAGACCCAGAAAGATCAGTCGGCAAGCCAGGAAGACCCCAGAGGGATCTTCCTGGCTTGCCTCGTGTGACCTGGTTCTGCCTTCTGGGGCAGAAGGCAGAAGCGGGTCACACACGAGGAAACAAAGCCCCCTGAACCCACAAAGGGGCCCCAAGAGGAAGAAACCTCCGGAACAAAACCAAAAAACCCAAAGGAATGCGGAATCGAACTAGGGGGAGCCCAAACCACCACATTTGCCGGCGTAGATACACCACAGAAAGGCAAAGCACAGCCCCCAGACAGAACTCCTAGGGAAACGGTCAAAACAGACCGAAAAACGAGGGACAAGGTGTGGGAGCAAGCATAACAGACAGGGACACTGAGCCCAAACCCAAGGGTCCAGACCCAAAACAGACAAAACAGAAAACCCAGTGTAAAATCAACACTCAAATGTTCCCAGAGGAACAGGAAACGGGCAGAAAACACCAGAAAAGCAAAGAAACGACAACAGGAGAATAAAACCCCTGAAAAAGGTGAAAAACTCGCCCAATACGCTCGCTTGCACACCCAGGCGCATGTAAACAAACCGCAACGCTGCCCTGGTGGCCACGCTGGGAAACCAGCAGAAGAAAATGGCCACCAGAACAGAGGGCTGTGACCGACGCAAAAGATACGAAAACATGCCAGTAAAAGTGGGAAGCAAGCAGACTGAATGGACAAAAAACTCCGCCCAGAAGCAGAAAACCTAGGCAGGGGCAAACTGCCCCAGAACTGCCAGCAGGCATCCCCCACAGCCCCGGGAACCCGCAACAGAGGCCCCGGGGCAGAGCCATCCTCCAAGCCCTCCGCCCTTAAAGAAAAGGAAGAGTCCATGGGAAAGGCAGCAAGAAAGGGCTGCTGATAAGATCCAGAAGCCTTGGCAGAAGGAACAGGCTCAAAAACCTCCGTCCCCAACCCGAACGGGGCAGCCCCCGAAAACCGCCCGAGTCTCGGCCCCAACTAAACCCCGAAACCCGCAGATGGTCCAGAGACGGGAACAGGGAGGGAAAGGGGCGAACAGCACCTAACCAAAATGGGGGCGGCCTCGGGGCATCCGAGTGGGAAACCAACCTAGCGTGTTGCAGCAACCTAACCTAGCTTGCAATTCGGATGCCGCCTGTACTCTGAACAGTAATAATATGAGGAGGGTACTGGAGAACAAGCAGAGAATCTCTCTCGCAAGACTCCGGGTCAAGGTGTCGGTGACCCAACAGGCAACATCACGGAGGTAAAAGTGGCGACCGTCACCCGGAGACAAGGGCACAGCAACCAACAATCCCGTACAAGACAGGTTGGAACCCGGAAGACACATTCAATGGTCCACCGAGCCCCGACAGGGGTTCCCAGGACCTGTAGGCTGACTGCGATGGGAAGCCGGGGAAAGGCGTTGCTAACTGGTTAAAAAACCCAAAAATAAAAAGGGGGTAGAGGACAACACTGAAAACCTCTGCGACATGTACAATCACGCGGGCCTAGCAGAGGGTCACCAAACACTACCAGTGGAACTATAGCCACACTAGGCAGACCCCCACCAGGCAAATGAAAATAAAAACAAAAGAAAAACCCCGCAAAAGTACACCGTCTCCAGAGGCAACAGGAACCGGTCGCCGCTTAGGTGGCAGGCTGTGCAATACCTTGACGCTCTAACCAGCACAATACCAATCCCTTCCCAGGGCTAAACAAGGGTCCCAAGTCCCAGCTAGCCCCAAGGGTGAGGCAAATGCCGAGAAGCAAGAACCTCTACGGGAATGGTTCCCGAATGCCTCAGGAAAGATAACCCTGTCACGCAGGGGAAGGTTAGGGAAGGAAGTCCATAAGCGCATGCAGCCCTGGCACTGATGAGGTACTCCTGGCCACCGCACAACACAACACACGGCAGTGAACGCCACACAAGGCAAACACCGCCTAGGAAACTGAGGCCAGAGAAGCGTCTATCCCGGTTGACATTACCTTACAAACTGATGCTAGGCAGCTGGCGCGGTAGGTCCGGGGCTCCCACCTCCCCCTCTCGGGGCGGGGAGAGCTGCGTGGACGATTGACGCTGCAGTAAAGTGTGATGTTTGCTCGTTTCCTTGGGATTGTAGGGAGTTTCTACCTCTCTGTTCAGTTTTTTGTTTTAGTTTTTTACCATGTGGGGTTTGTTTTGTTATGCCTACCTTTCTGGGTGCCTAACCTCGGTCGATGGCAGATAACGAAAACCCCAACCACAAGGGGGTTTTCCAGGGCCATTGCTCCCTGAAACCTTTCTGAAGGGGCCAGGTTCTGGCGCTGGTCCCTGGTAGGTCTGAACTCCTTAGCAAATGTCCCGGTCTAATATAACATGCATTAGCCCGATAAGCTCCAGGGAACCATAGGGGCTTCCCACAGAAAGACATGGTCACTTTTAACCAAATGAGGAAGGTACTGAATGTCAAATATCTCTTCCTCTTTCCTGGTAAATATCAAATCCAGCATGGAGGGAACATCCCCTTACCTCATCCTCATAGCTTGTTTAACATGTTGAAACATGAATGCTTCCAGGATAAGATTTACGAATCTACAAGTCCAAAAATCTTCTGTTCTAGCTTCATATGCCTCCCAGTCTATGGGATACATACATGTATGTATGTATGTACAGGTATGTATGTATGTACAGGTATGTATGTATTCATACATGCCTGTATGTATAAGCATTCAACTTACATTTCATGAATTCCTGAGCAAATAACTGTATTGAGGAGAAATCTGTTAGATCAAGATGCAAGAAATGAACATGTAGATTTCCAGTTGCTTTAGAGAGAGTTCTTGCAGCAGCTTCTCCAGCCTTACAGCTACGGCATGCCAGGTACACAGTTGCACCTGCAAGTAAATTAACTTCCTGAATACAAGATTATTCAGTTTATGAAATCTTAAGATTTAATTATTATTTTAATTCTTTTTAATTCTTACATTAAATTTTCCTAAGGCTTAAAAATTTGAAAATCAGGATTTTAAAACTTCTAGTGTAAATTTTTTTTAACCAGTAAAACAAGGATCTTATAATAAAAGTTGAAAATTTCCATTATAAAAATTTGAAAACAAAAAACCAGCATTGAATGTAATGAAACGCCATTTTCTAGGTGAGTCACAGAGGCTCCCTGGAGCTATCCAGGCTGATATGAATGTACCTAAACTTTGACATCAGTCAGTGTGGGTGTAGGCCTACTGTGGACCACGAGCCAGAATCTGCCCCCCCCCCCTCACAGAGGCACGAGGAGCAATGGCCTCATAGAAATGCACATGTGATTTGGAGCATTCTATATCTGCCATCGACCAGGACAGGAAAGGTGAGTGCCACAAAACAAACTCCTATTCTGGTTAAAACAACAAAAATAGACAAACGAGTGGACAGAACTCACTAAATGAAAATGAGCAAACAAGCATGACATCACCCGCGCCACATGTCTGCACAGCCCCCCTTTTCCTGGGAGGGGGAAAGGGGGAGCCCCAGACCCACGTGCCAGAGATCCACACCGCAGTTCTGAGGCTGGATATAAAAAACACATGAAAAAACGCCGGCCGGAAGGGAAGGGAGGGAGGGAGGGAGGGATGCCAGGAGCCTCTGGGACTCACCCAGAAAATGGCGTTTCATTACATTCTACGGTCGTTTTCTGCGGAAAGCCCCTAAGATTCCCCAGAGCTGCTTCACCAAAGACGAAAACTAGAGCGGTCTTACCCGGGACCCAATTGGTTCTCACATCTCAACTCGAAGTCGAGACAACAGGGTGCAACCGCCGACCCAAAGCGGCACAGGCCCGACTAGGCCCAAGAACACTTACGAGGCAGCATACAGCCAGGACCCTGTCGATCGCCAAAAACCTAGTGCCCGAATGTCAGACCAGGACATGTTACCGAAGACAGCTGCAACGGCAGCAAACTTATGATCGTCCCGCCCTCCTTCCCTGATGCCTTTCCACCCCCCAATACATCCCCTCACCACTGACACCACCATTTATTATGAATTCTTCATTTTGACCATGGAATATGATAGAACGTTGTTACAAACAACTGAAATGGTAACATTTTCTCAGCTAATTTGGCGAAAAGCAGAGAGTGAGTGAACTATCGAGGTGGAGCATGGAGGCGCCAGCCACGTGTTGTTAACTACCTGATAACTAATAACCAGCGCTCACCATTGACCCCACCTGCATCCACTGACAACAACGTCCACCACCTGCCTCCCCTGACAACACCTTCCACCACCTGCATCCACTGACAACACCTGACACCACCTGCCTCCCCTGACACCACCTGCCTCCCCTGACAACACCTGACACCACCTGCCTCCCCTGACAACACCTGACACCACCTGCCTCCCCTGACACCACCTGCCTCCCCTGACAACACCTGACACCACCTGCCTCCCCTGACAACACCTGACACCACCTGCCTCCCCTGACAACACCTGACACCACCTGCCTCCCCTGACAACACCTGACACCACCTGCCTCCCCTGACAACACATGACGCCACCTGCCTCCCCTGACAACAACGTCCATCACCTGCCTCCCCTGACAACACCTTCCACCACCTGCCTCCCCTGACAACACCTTCCACCACCTGCCTCCCCTGACAACACCTTCCACCACCTACCTCCCCTGACAACACCTGACACCACCTGCCTCCCCTGACAACACCTGACACCACCTGCCTCCCCTGACAACACCTGACACCACCTGCCTCCCCTGACAACACCTGACACCACCTGCCTCTCCTGACAACACCTTCCACCACCTGCCTCCCCTGACAACACCTGACACCACCTGCCTCCCCTGACAACACCTGACACCACCTGCCTCTCCTGACAACACCTTCCACCACCTGCCTCCCCTGACAACACCTTCCACCACCTGCCTCCCCTGACAACACCTTCCACCACCTGCCTCCCCTGACAACACCTTCCACCACCTGCCTCCCCTGACAACACCTTCCACCACCTGCCTCCCCTGACAACACCTTCCACCACCTGCCTCCCCTGACAACACCTTCCACCACCTGCCTCCCCTGACACCACCTGCCTCCACTGATACTACCTGCCTCCCCTGACAACACCTTCCACCACCTGCCTCCCCTGACAACACCTGCCTCCCCTGACACCACCTGCCTCCTCTGACACCACCTGCCTCCACTGACACCACCTGCCTCTTCTGACAACACCTGCCTCCCCTGACACCACCTGCCTCCCCTGACAACACCTGACACCACCTGCCTCCCCTGACAACACCTGCCTCCCCTGACAACACCTGACACCACCTGCCTCCCCTGACAACACCTGACACCACCTGCCTCCCCTGACAACACCTTCCACCACCTGCCTCCCCTGACAACACCTGACACCACCTGCCTCCCCTGACACCACTGACACCACCTGCCTCCCCTGACAACACCTGACACCACCTGCCTCCCCTGACAACACCTGACACCACCTGCCTCCCCTGACAACACCTTCCACCACCTGCCTCCCCTGACAACACCTTCCACCACCTGCCTCCCCTGACAACACCTGACACCACTGACACCACCTGCCTCCCCTGACAACACCTGACACCACCTGCCTCCCCTGACAACACCTGACACCACCTGCCTCCCCTGACAACACCTGACACCACCTGCCTCCCCTGACAACACCTGACACTACCTGCCTCCCCTGACAACACCTGACACCACCTGCCTCCCCTGACAACACCTGACACCACCTGCCTCCCCTGACAACACCTTCCACCACCTGCCTCCCCTGACAACACCTGACACCACTGACACCACCTGCCTCCCCTGACAACACCTGACACCACCTGCCTCCCCTGACAACACCTGACACCACTGACACAAGTGGTTAACAAGTTAACAAGTTTTAACAAGTGAGAAGGTGGTGGAGGCCAAGACCGTCAGTAGTTTCAAAGCGTTATATGACAAAGAGTGCTGGGAAGACGGGACACCACGAGCGTAGCTCTCATCCTGTAACTACACTTAGGTAATTACACTTAGGTAATTACACCACCTGCCTCCCCTGACAACACCTGACACCACCTGCCTCCCCTGACAACACCTGACACCACGTGCCTCCCCTGACAACACCTGATACCACCTGCCTCCCCTGACGCCACCTGCCTCCCCTGACAACACCTGCCTCCCCTGACAACACCTGATACCACCTGCCTCCCCTGACAACACCTGACACCACCTGCCTCCCCTGACACCACCTGCCTCCCCTGACAACACCTGACACCACCTGCCTCCCCTGACACCACCTGCCGCCCCTGACAACATCTGCCTCCCCTGACAACACCTGACACCACCTGCCTCCCCTGACAACACCTGACACCACCTGCCTCCCCTGACACCACCTGCCTCCACTGACACCACCTGCCTCCCTTGACAACTTCCACCACTGACACCACCCGTCTCCCCTAACAACTTCCACCACTGACACCTGCCTCCCCTAACAACTTCCACCACTGACACCTGCCTCCCCTAACAACTTCCACCACTGACACCACCTGCCTCCCCTAACAACTTCCACCACTGACACCACCTGTCTCCCCTAACAACTTCCACCACTGACACCAGTCTTTTCTGACAACCCCCAATGAGAATAACTTCCACCTCCTGCCTCCTGACACTAAACCCCCAACTACTGACACCACTTGCCCCCAGACTCCAACCCTCACCACTGACACCACCTGCCTCCCCTGACACCACTTGCCCCCAGACTCCAACCCTCACCAATGACACCACCTGCCTCCCCTGACACCATTTTATCATCCATCAACCATTTCTCACTGGAAACAATGGGCAAGCAAAATAAAATACTGTACAACTGTTTACACTTTGGTAAATCATAGTTGATGACAGTGGCTGTCATCAACTATTACAGCTCGGTCTTGGTGATCGCTTGAACGAACAATCCTAATTTAATCGAACATTTGTATGTTCAGTGGAACATTTAGTACCGAATTTAATTTGTTCGGGTCATCCGGGAATTCGATAGAGCGGGGTTTGTTAGAGTGAGTGTTAAGGATTATGTGTCTGCTATGTGGGGGCTAGTATTATGGAGTAGGGTCAGCAGTTAGAATTCAGATGTATCAAGTATTGGAGATCTTAAAGGCCCGGCCCCCAATAAAAATATAAGAGTAATACTTATAGTGGCTTACTGAAAATGTCAGCCTAGAGGTAGATCATAGATCTCCTACACAGGAAGAATGGATACTCCTTTAAAACTAACTAACTTATTTATTAACCCCCTTAACAACCCCCATATACATTCACACCAATAACAATAATTACTTTACCACACTATCTTACGTTAAAAGCCTTGGTCCACATAAGCAGGATACAAGGTTTTATAATGAGCACAAGCTAGGGTAAAGTCTACTAGGCAAGGGACACTAGCAAGGACTCTAGGTAGCTTACTGGTACTACTGGAGCCCACGTGGTTCCACTGAGACCCCCTTAGAGTAACTTAGCAATATAAACACTAGTGATCACCTAATTAATTATTACACAGTAATACTTTACACATTAGAACATTCTTATGCCAGAAAATGTGAACACAACTCAGTACTTATCTTGGTAAAAACTAGACACAGAAATAGGTAAGGGAGAGAAGCAGAAGGAAGGGGAGAGGGATGCAGAGATCTTAACACCACGACGCCAGCCCAGAGAAGGAAGCCAGCCTCGATGCTCAGCTTTCTCCAGCTCACTCGCTGCCGGCCGACTACTCGGCTAATCGTACAGCAGCCCTATATCCAAGTTTACTCAGATCTACTTTACTAATACTTTCTAATCATTTGTAAACATAGTTGATGCCTATTTTATTAATT